GGAGTAAATTGAAGCAGCTGTCAGTATTCTAGCCAGTTAGATCGGGCTGGGGGGTATGGTCACTCTGAGCGTTCCAGGCTCACCTCACATTTCAGGCCAATTCATACTTTACTTTTCTGTGTGTGCTTTTGGTCATACAAGAGGGGGGGAGTGATGTAAATGTCATCATCAGCGGTTGGCTGCGGAAGGCTGCAGTTGATGGCCCAGGTGTTTTTGTCTAGCAGAAATTGTGTGTCTGTGTATGTCGAGCGCACATGCAAGATTATTGATGAGGTATTTCCAGCAGGTGGCAGCACCAACTTTCACAGATTAGCAGTCAATGACAAAAGAGTAGAGGAAGAATAGTTGTTGTTGTAGTAGTTATGGTGAGATGAGATAAGATAAGAAGAGGGTTGGAGGTACCCGCATATTCCAGTTCATACTGTCAAGACACACCAAGGTATGTGGTATTTTAAAAAGCAACACTATTCTGGTATTTTGAAATCTTGCCCATAAAATTCACTGGGGGAGGGGGAGGGGGAGGGGGTAGGTCCTGGCTAATTTTGTTGTAAAGATTTCAAAATAAAGTGTTACCCCATATTACCTTAATATGGCTCAATATGCAATGTATCATGAGGTATGAATTGGCCTTAAGAATGCTGTGCCGGTTGCTGGTTTAAATCCCAGGTTCAGCAGAGTGATTTCACCGTTTGCTTGTCTGTCTTAATTGTCGTTGTTAATGCACTCACTATGGGGTCTGAGCATAATGTAATTTCAATCCTCTGTACTGTACATATTGCAGAATTAATGATTTCACTTTGACTTAGCGCCAATTGATCGAGGGACTGGCTGGCTTTCAGTGTAGGGACAGATGTGTACACACACACACACACACACACACACACAATGACTTACTTGCCGTTATGTATTACTCTGTCAAATGATGTTGTAATGTATTAATGTATTACAACACATCCATGTCAAGTGCCTTGTGACGACTGTTGTGAAAGACGCCATATAAAATTGAATTGAAATTCATATGCATATTGCCATATTGTTTATGTTATACTGCAGTATATTTGCCAACTGGACGTCCCATTTCTTAAAACAACATGACAATCTGAAGTAACTGGCATGTACCACTAGAGGGAGCGTCTTTGGAATAGCTATGATAGCATTCGTTGCACATCAGGTTTTCAATCGTTTATTTTTTATTAATGAATAGTAGATATTGCATTCACGTTCTCTCAGCAGTGTAATGCTTACAGCGTTGTGAAAAATACGCTTATACAAAGCGTTGGATTCTGAGTGCGCTTCCAGACATCGTATTTTCCCTGCAGCATGGCAATCTGAAGTAACTGGCATGTGCCACTAGGGGGAGCATCTTTGGATGAAAAACAATAGCATTTCATCGCCATAACTTCTTTGTTTTGTCATTAAGTAACAGTAGGAATCACGTTCACATCTTCCCACGTGTTATGTTTCCATTAAAATAGCGACACAGTCCCAGATGATATGTAACAAACACTGTTTTGCCACCAGATATTTTCTTTACTTATTTGTAATTATACCCCTGCCCTCTTGGGGTCAGTATAGTTTCCTAGAGGGGTATAAGGAGTAAGGCAATAATATACGGCTGTCACTACCCTTCTCAGGCCCCATCCGGTTGGATTGTGCAGACAACAAAGAAACGTTCTTTATCCATTTCACAAGTTTTCAAAGTGAAGTTTATCTGTTTAACGTGTTTGGGGAAAAATGTCCTACGCATATATTTCTGCACAATCTATGTTTCATGATTGTCAATGTATTATATATTTAAAAATTTTATATATTCATTAGATATTTTATTGGTTATGCATAAAAATTCAAATACCGTTTTTTTTTTTATATCACCAGTTGTCAACTATAACTAGATATTTATTGATCACTTAAAATCTGAAGCATTCTGGATATTTTAATGTTTTGGAAACATCTTCCGCATTATCTGTTGCATTATTGATTCTTGATACATGAAATACATTTACATCAGGACTGAATTGGTACTGCGGCATTGAACGGTATGTTCAATGATAATCATTTAATTCTTTTATTTTATTCTCTCTTGCGCATGCAGGATCATAACAAATTGTTCTGTGCATGTGTGAATTGGTAGGGGGCTGAGAATGGCAGCGTCTTAAAATGGCGGCTACAGCTGTATACTTCTCATATAAGGGCCAAGGTGGCCATATTTCACTAGACTCAATAGACCAATTTTGAGTGGATAAAATGATAATGTCACAGGATGTTGCGTACAAAGTGATGGCAGAAAAACAGAAGAAACAAACGGAAGCAAATGGGCAAAGACCCTAAAATAAAGAAATAAATTATGTTGTGCTGTTGGTTGCCAAAACAGAAAATCTTTTTATAGGATATCACCGTCAAACAGAACATTTGAAACTCAACAAGTGTAGATAATATTCACACACATAATTCAGATGGCACACTGAATTAACCCCATAGCATAAAATAATATTATACTTTAAATAGCAGTAACATTTTCACATAGACATTTTTATGTATCCATATTATATAGCTTATTGTAATGTTCATTCTATATTAATTCTCTATTCTTACTGTTCCTACTATAAACTAACAGCATTTCTTTCAGGATCAATAGTCTCTATCTAGAAATAATAGCAACAGCAGTAATGTATATATAAATGTATCCTCACCCAGTCCTGCAAGTGCAATTTGCTGTCAGAATATGATTGTTATATAATTGTTCAAATTGTTCATAATAGCCCATGTTTTGTACAGTTGGGTTTTATGTCCTTGCCGCTGGCTAGTCTGTAGTCATTGGACAAATCTCTGTATTCAAGGTCCTGGACACGACCACAAAGAATGAAACTGTATGCCTCAAGGCATTTAAATTCCTTAATTTTCTTTTCTGTACACGCTTGGTTTTTCAACCAGATGGACGAAAATGCACGTCCGACCACCGTAACTTGGGTCATTTAGTTGGGTCCTTGACCCACTGATCCGACAGTGAGTATGGATCAGGAAACCTAACTCCAATGCTAAGCATTAATTTATTAATGTAAGATTATTTATATTTTGCTAGCAAAGCATTACAATAAAAGGAGATGTTGTCCGGATTACTGTGTTCATATATGATTTTGGCGCTTATACACCTAAATACCGCTACTTCTGATCTGTCTCTTTCTGCCACCACTTACGCTCCACCTACAAAACACGTCATCTTTGTTTGTGAAACACGAACACGAAAGTAGTCCATACAGGTGAAGAAATGAAGCACAGTAAGAGGTGAAGTTGGCAACTCCTGATCTGAGGAATGAAAAATGTTCACTGCTCAGTAAAGGACTTTATTTTTTCCTGGTTTGCATGCATCTGGCATTCTTCGTTTTCTGGGTCCAAGTCATGATTGTTGTGGCAAAGTCATTTCCTGGCTCATCCACACCTTGCGAAGGACATTGATCACCACTTTGGACTGTGCTACCCATAACAGCTGCATATCTGTTTATTGCATTACCAGTCTTGTTAATTGCTGTTAATCCCTGAATTTGTCATCAGTTTGTTTGCTGGGGTCATATGCACACATTTCAATAAAAACAAATATTCTCTTCTGTTGAATTGGTGTTTCCCTTTAATGCCTATCTGACATGTCCTTCCCTTATTTATTGTATATGCAACAGGTTGATACTACAGCAAGATCAGTAGCATTACAAGAAAACACAAAGCAGAAACTGGCATTTTTTTAAAATTATTCCCCACAGTAATATTACTGGAAAACAGGAGCTATCATCTTTGCAATATATGGCATGTGTTCAAATGTACAAAATACATGAGAATATTTTTTTGTAACTGAGTATCCCAAGTATCCTTTTCACATATTGTACAGATAAAATATACGTTGCCTTTTTTTTGCCAAGACAAAGTACAGTGTATGGGCATGCAAAATTAACCTCATCCTTTTTGAATGCACAGGTAATAATGATTTGTGATCAACAGGGGGCAGTAAGCCAATTTACTGAGAGGCATTTCAGGGCAGAGTTTCCACCGTGACAGAGGTGAGGGTGATGTCTTTTATGATGTTGAGGTTGTTGATTGAGCTGAGGTCACGGATCTTGTGCTTGAATTCCAGGAGGTGACTGTTATTCACTGCCACCTTGAATTCATTATTGGTGCAAAGTATCTTCATCTAAAAAAACCACAAAGGTATTAGAATGAGACTGGGAGATGCGTGTGAGGCTGGAATGGTCATGATGCCGTACAGTACGAAACCTTTCTGTGAGAACTATCGTACAGCACGCAGCAATAATATGGCATATAGCATATGGCTGCTCAAAATTTATTTTTACATACATTTACTTAATTTTTTTCAACTTTAGTCAGTTTACAGATTTGAAAATATGTTTAGATTTCGGGAAAATTGTATTTTGATGGAGAAATATTTAAAAACCAGAAAACCATCATGTCAGAATTAATTTCCTATTCATCTTTTTGAACAAAAGTTTGCTGAAAAAATGTTACATATGGTACAAGAAAATAACATTGTTTCATATATTATTGAAGGCTGAGGTCATACCAGTGTGTTGTAATTAAAGTAAACAACCTGCCTTACATACGGTTGTTTGAACCCAGCCTGACTTGCACTCCCCCCCTCACTTACCACAAAAGGCTTTCCGCGAACAAAGGGGAACGAGCCACACTCCCTCTCTTCCTTGCCCCAGTTCCCCCCCTGCAGGCTGTTCCTCACAATGACCTGCCTCCCATCCTCACTGAATCGGGGGTTAATATGCAGGGCGATATCATTGCCTCGGCCGAGGTTGACTGCAAACCTGTAGGAGACAACAGTGCTTTACCATTAGTCATGATAATGCAGCTGAATGCCATGAAATTTGACCCACTATTTTAAAACTTTCCAGTGATGTCTCTGCAAATTAGGCACAATAACTATGTTCAACAGGTTTTCCCAATTTCACTAGAGAAGCTATTGCTATGAATTACACACTAAGACATTATTTCAGCTTATATATGTTTTTGACGGATTTGCAGATATTGTATGCATGTTATTTTCAGAGGTAAAAATTTCAGGTCCAGAAAGTACAAATCCAGACCAAGATTTTTGTTGAAATTTTGGTCTGGATTTGTACTTTATGGACCTGAAATCTCCACCTCTGGTTATTCTCTTCCTTTTAAAATTATACCAAATGGCCTGATCTGCAAATGCCAGGATAGTAGCAACATATTCTGGGTAACTGGTAAGCAGAAGGTATAATAAGGTAGAGGTTTAACATGTGTAGGGAACAGGCTTTATGTACTGACATGTTAGCATTGGGAAGGATCTGCCCTGAGATGCTGATCAGCATTTTGTCATAACATCCTCTGGGCAGGACCACGTCGTATGGCACCGTCTGAAAGGAGAAACCGTTGGCTTTATTCTACACAGTGTCTGTCATGCCATCCCCATATAAGCACAAAACTCCCTCTTATTTAAAGAAAAATCTAAAAATATTATATCTTCATGTTTCACTTGTCTTTTTAATAACCAAGTTGTCATACTTCATTCCTAATGGGATAGAAACTTTTCTGCACAGCCAGCAAGTAAACAGTCACTAAGAGTAACCTGGTTTAAAGGTTAACAACCAATTATAAGATGCAAAATGCAAATGATAAGTTTAAGAGTGAGTCTATACATTAACAATTACTGACCACTAGTTCCAAAAATCTTGACTTTACCAAGTTATATTATAATTCAAATGAAGAACAGCATGAATTAAAATGCATTATGTGGTAAGTGGTATGGAAGTAAATGTTAGAACTTACCAGAGGTCCACTGGAAAATGGCTGAGGAGCAGATGGGATGGTTTGGCCAGGCTGACCGGGCCACGCTGGTTGATGTGGCTGGCCAGGCTGGCCAGGCTGACCGGGCCAAGCTGGTTGATTTGGTTGGCCAGGCTGACCGGGCCACGCTGGTTGACCGGGCTGACCAGGCCACGCTGATTGGCCGGGCTGACCAGGCCACGCTGGTTGATTTGGTTGGCCGGGCTGACCGGGCCATGCAGGTTGGCCGGGCTGACCGGGCCACGCTGGTTGGCCGGGCTGCCCGGGCCACGCTGGTCCACCAGCCTGATTGTTCAACTGCTGTCCAGAGGAGGCCTCATCACCCAGAGCATCAGACAACTTTAAGGAAAAGGACACATCAAACACATTTGCAAATATATAGACACACACACAGACCTGTACTCATACCTTTGTGGGTACCCTCCATTCATTTCTATAGGCAAAATCCTAGTCCCAACAATGACAACCTTAACCAGCCCTAACCTTAACCATAAGTAACCGAACAAAATATTTTTTGTTTTTTGATTGCAGTCACAGATTTTTATAAAATTGGATTTCCCCTTGTGAGAACTGAATAAATGGTCTTCACAATGTCAAAATAACAGGTTTTATCATGTAATGTATACCTGGACCACAAAAACACATACACACACGCATATGAAATCATAGATAAAGAAATGATACTTTAATCTTCCATTTTTAATCAAAAATGTTCTTTTTTTCCTGTTGGAACAGGTATAAATATTTAGCTGACCAGTTATTGAACCACCACAACTTATCGGCCAACAGAATTATTCCATAGAACTGAAGGTCCAAGTCCAATCGATCTCTTACTAAACTCACAGGGGTTGAGGTCACAATCAAGAGGACTCAAGAATGTGTAATAAGCTCCCATACATTTTTGTGTTTTGGCGAACAGCATAACCTGCATGACTAAATAATCATCTAGACAAATAAGCATATTGATACTTACATCCATTTTACCTGTTAAAGAAAAAATAAAATCATGTAAGTTTAACAGCCTATTGTCATGTAGTCATCCCAGTTTGGTAACACATCTGCTTGGACTAAATAATCTATCTGTAATAAATTCCTGATAAACGAATATACAATTAATGACATTAGAATGCAGTAAATATTGATGGTACTCTGAGAAAAAACTGCCACCATGGGGCGAACAGAGGTACTAATTCCGTGTGCAGCATACAGGAGATTCACAGAAATATACGTCTGTGGAGGCTCCCAGTCGTTTGACTGTCCTAAGTTGACCTGTAACAAATTAATTTTACTCACCCAAAGTTGATTCTGTGTACCAGAATAATATATTCCTGAAATATCTTTGATGATTTACATCAACAGTATGAACAGGCTAGGATTTGTCAACCTTTCTGTACTTAGACAAGACTTGTTTGTGGCCATGGCAGAATGTTTTGATGGAGAGAAAAAAAAAACTCCGGTAGGGCTGGGCAATATAAAAGATATATCGACTTATCTTCATATATCGACTTATCATTCAGAAACTTCGATGAACTCTCTATAAGAAAGATTGCTCAATAGCGCATAACAGCCAATTACATCATAGAAACAAATGCGATTCCAACGAATCATATGGTAGTCTTAAGAACGGATACGCCCAACAAACGCATTGCAGGGTTTTGATTGAGTAGCTGAGCATGTTACAGTACGTGCCACTGTTACTGTTTTGGTAATATTACGGAAGAGATGAGCGCTCCTTCAGAGAAAGCTTCAAGTGTTGGGGAAGAAAGCAACAGCTCAGCATTCACAGAATCTTTTAAATAAGGGGACTGTGGATAAACATGGTAAAGAGACGTTGGTGGTGTGGCCTTACTTTTCGCAGCGCCAAGTCCTGCACGGGACTTACTTGTGCTGTAAACGCTGCCGAAACTTGTGCCAGCTAAAACTGTACATTTTATTTTCCATTACAGGATGGGTGACAGCTCTACCAGCAATGTCCAAGGAGCAGCGAGGCAGTCAGAGAAAAAAAACTTATCATCAAACCGCATGTTACTCCCTGAGACAAAATACTTTACTTTTAAATGATTCATTTATTAAAATTAGATTTCAATTTGCAGTCCATTCAGTTTGTCGATGATTATCAGTATAGACTGATATGAAAAAATTTGTTTTGCCATAGCCCAGCCCAACAGTAGGGTTAGGTTTTTAAATTCCATTAAAATTTTTGCATCACAATCCTACAAATTGTATTTTGATCAAAATATTCATCAGAATTCGCAATGACACAGAGCCCTGGATCAAAGTATTTGCAAACCATAAGTAGCGTTTTCTGACAACACATTAATTTGCTTGGGAAGTCTCGCGCTGCTTTGATATGGTCACTGAATCACTAATTAATGAGAGAAGCACAGCCATATAATTTACCAATATGGTCATTTGTTTTGATGTGATACAGCATGTGGTGCACACACTGGTTTAGCATTTATATCTACTTATATACATGAAGGTATCATTTTACATTAAAATCTGATGATGCCATTTGGTATTTCAAATGTTGTCTATATACAGTAAACAAGTATAAACAAGTGTAAGTTATTTTATGCAAGAACATGAAATGTCATTGTTATAGAACAAACATTGGCCATGAATGTTCACTGGTTCACTGACATTTCCTCACATCTATCTGAAGTTACTATTACAAAACAAGCATCTTGTGCAAAGATGAATACTTATTATTTGTTAGGTAATTTCTTTTCCTGCATAATAACCCTGCAGCCTGTATGAGATGATGTTAGCCACAAGGGGGCTGAGTATGCTCAACTTTCACAGAGCTGTCAGGTTATATGAAGTCATTAGACAGAAAGTGCCCCTGAAACTCAAATTACTTCTTAGCATCATTCCATTAATCACAGAACCAAATCTACTTGTTTCTAGCAGATGGTCCCTCTGGCACAACTACAGGAAGAAACTGCAAACTTTCGGTCTAACTTTGCGCAAATAACAAATTCTGTATTCACTTCCCCATCCTGTGCCCTGACTCCTGAAAAAGATCAGTGTAGCACAAATACTGATTTGTGAACCTGCATATATAGATAATTTTCCGTGATGATAAGTAAAAGGAATGAGAATGTTACCTGCTTGCTGATTCTAGTCCTGCTTGGATGAATGCATACTGACACATCCTAATGTGTCACTTAAATACAGCCACTCCTAGTTGTTGAATTCACCTTTGGAAAACCACACCCTTTTTAACGTCACAGGCTAGCAACATACCCTATAAAATGTATTGATGTCGTATATTAATTAATCATCCTTGTTGTTTCACAAACAGAAATACCTTAAACGTATCTTAATTGTTAATTTTACATAATTAGGTTGCACTTGGTATACTTGTTGAATGAAAAGGAACTTTTAACAAATACATGAAATGTCACACTGTTTGTTTTGTAAAATAAATGTGCTGTAAGTGCATCATTTTACTCTTCTTGCAGGGCAGCTTTTCCTGAAATTTAGCTCCTGTGGCTTGTGGGTGTGTCCGCAATTGGAATGCAGTTTGGCCAATAAGATCCCCTGTGATTCTTTAGAGCATTATATGAGAATGTTGTGAAAGGCGCTGTATGCTATGTGTTGCTATGTGAACCTGGGCAGGGTTTCAGACTGGAAACAAATACTTGACTTGAATTGTAGGTGGGAAAGCTATTTTTTAATTCGGAGTAAGAATTTGTAACATTGCTGTTTATTACTTTGCTAACTAAAAATCTATATAAATCTATATATCTTCTGGCTAAAATCAATAATAATAATAATAATAATTCATACTAATTTACAGTCTAAACATACTATACTATAACGATCTAAGGTGCAAAAATGCTTCTTAGGAATTTATCTGAATCCAAAGTTGATAATTGGTTTAACTACAAAATCAAAACCTACAAGAAAACATATCTGATTAGTACATAAGATTAAAAAAGATGCAACATTTTGGGAATATATGTGTCAAATTCTCATCTGAATTGTATATATTTCAAAGTGTATTTCATGTCAAACCCACTATAGCAAAAATGAAAATACTTTTAATATGTATCTTTCCAACTGCAGTGCTTTCCCTGTTTGTTAATGTGATTTCATTTCCATTGCTATGTAATGTATGGTAAATTATATGTGATTTCAATAGATCATATTTTTAATTTCCTACAAGGCATTTGCACAGACAGATATGCATGAGTCTCACATGCCTCACAGTCATGAGAGAGTGACTCATTGCTGAAAGTACTCCTCCCACCCAAGACCATCTCCAAGTGCAGTCAGAGCTCCTTTGGCTGAAGTGAACACCGCTTTGTTATGTTGTCTGGGATTTTGGTGTTACCCTGCCAAACCCCAATCCCATATATTATGCTAAGTCTGGAAAGGCAGCTTTAACTGAACAGAGACATGGTCTGTGCTCGCAACAAGCTTGAGCAAACAAAATGTACACAGTTATTTGAGCATTTAGCAGTTTGCTGTACAGAGCACCAAACACACATCATCGACTGAAATGACTCGGTGGGGTATTGTGGGCCTTTCTGTCATGAAATGGAAATACATGTACAATTCATAATGATCCCTTTACATTAATTTAGTTACATAGCAGCTGCTCTCGTGGTTGCCTGTCTGTTATACAGCATTCATGCCACTAAGAATGTCACAGTTATATAAAATGTTTAGCTACCTGGGTGTGTGTAGAGACACTTATTCTCTTAATTCTTTTTTATTCTAATTAATCTTTTTCTCCATTCAGTTTTTATTATAAAACTAGTAGCACCTTCACCCCAGGAATGGGAACAAAGACTGAAAAAACGAGAAATACTTGCTATTCCATTGTACTGCCACTTTTCAGAGGCTATTCCTGTTCTGGTACACTACTAGGAAAAAAAGTGCACTTACAGCGCTTTTCGACCTACTTTTGGTACGATACTTTCCCTTTTCCACTCACGTCCGGTCTAGTACCAGTTCCAAAGGTTCCAGTACCAAATAGTGATGGCCGATTCGCGAATGAATCGTTCTTTTTAACTCGGTTTTTTTAGTGAACGGGTTGAACCGATTCGTAAGTCTGAATGAACCGATTTTTAAAATTACTGTATTTTAAAACGTTTTTAAAACTGATCTTTGGCTATTCAACATCCAAAAGCATCCCCGCGATTTCGGATTTATTTTTCATGTTCCGTCGGCGCTTGTCTTATCACTTTTATATGGAGTTATAATTTTGTGCCAAAAGTATCAATCAAAATTTTGAAAACCGCAAGCAAATCATTAAGTATCACAATGAAAATTTGTATTCCAAATATCAAAAAAGTCAAATAAAATCATTTTATCCTTCTTCTTCTCTAATTTGTTTTGCTTCTGGAATGTTTTTCTTTGCTTTTGGAATTTTTTTTTTTTTGCTTCTGGAATATTTTTCTTTGCTTTTGGATTTTTTTTTTGCTTTTGGATTTTTTTTTGCTTTTGAATTTTTTTTTTGCTTTTGGATTTTTTTTTGCTTTTGGAATGTTTTTTTGCTTCTGACTTTTGGCACTGTTTTAACGGGTGGGCGGGCCTTAGCAGCTTACACGTCTATTGGTCAGCTGGAATTTGGAGTAACCATCTGGGCACGCCCACTCCATGACGCATCAGAACATCGCAACATAGCGGGAAGCTCCGGAGCCAGTTTACAGCATTGAATTGCATCTTTGTAGTTCTATAATCAAGGGCGGATTAACGCACAGGGTAGATATGGCTTAAGCCTAGGGGCCCCACGTGTGCCAGCCTGCAAGGGGGCCCCCATTGGCGCGGAGGGGGGTGGGGTTGGGGGGCCCACAGACTACTGTAGCCTAGGGGCCTCTGTACACCTTAATCCGCCCCTGTCTATAATAGTGTACTTTTATTAGGAATCGGTGTATGCAACACATATTTCGCGTTCATAAAATGTCACCAACCCATACCTGTCAAGTATCCCGTTGTGGCCGGGAAAGTCCCGTAATCATCATACGGAGATCATACGGATCTATATTGTTGATTGTTGACAATTTAGCCAAATACCGATCCCTGGCGTCATTCGTAAGTTTTTCTCTGTAAGGAATTTTCTCGTTCTGCTTTTTCTTCTCCATTCTTCCTAGTGTTTGCGTCCGCGAATACCTTCAATTCATACCTTCTTTTAGAATCCAATGTCTTGCTATGAGTTTTGCGTTTGACCCATAATTTATACAACATGTGCATCTATTAGTGGAAATTAATCGGTGATGTGCTAGGTAGATTTTTGTACAACCAATTAATGGCATGATCACAGAAAGGTATGTTGTATAAAGCTCTACATTAACGGTTTAATGTCACTAATATATTCACCGTGCAGCTCCTCTATTGGTTGAACTTAGTATTTGGGGCGGGATTTTATTTGTAGTCCTCATTTCAGGACACTTAAATGCTGGCTCCGTCAGCACTTAGGAATTGGGCTTAAACTTTGCTGAAAGTTACTTAGTTTTAGCAGCTTTATACAATGCTCTTAGGTCCTACTTTTTGCTAAGGTTTTTTTTTTAACTCTTAAGTCCAAGTGTACGACCATTCTTAAGACCATTCTTAGGAAGTTTTATGCATACAGAAAAATATATTTTAATATTCTATTTGGCTGACAGTAAGTGCTATGCATTAATCATTGACTGTATATCATCACTACTACCTTTTTTAAATGAAGCTTTAATCCCTTAAAGGGATCTCTCTATTAGGGCTGTTTGTGTTTTCTAAATGAATGAGGACTGCTGTGCCTTGTCTCAATACATTATGTGTATAGTAACAGAAACCATTTCAGTTCTGTTTTTTACAACATGTATGTGCATTTTAGTTACATTTCTGTGCAATGATACAAATTAGTGTTCTTCTTTATTAAATTAACCTTTTAGGAAACAATTCAGTAATCAATTGATGATATGCCATTTGGGTTTGCATTGTTTTTATCAAAATGAATAACTATTACTTTTCTTTTCAGAATAAACACCTCACAAATAAACACCTCACCGGGCTCCTTCCACACTGAGACTGAAGACTCACACTGTTAAAAACCACCACAAAATAAACATGGATTATTTTATCTTCCCAGCAATTTAGAGTTTCACCCTGAATATTGTAACTGATTGCTCTTTTCCCCTAAATGATAAACCTTGAAATCCAATTAAAGGCAACCATTAAATCCCCCCCCCAAAAAAAAAAAACCCACTGGAAATAGTCTGCAAGCATTTCCTATGACTAAACTTGGCCTAGTGTTGTTCTGTGAAGTCAGATTACATCGCTCAGCCAATAGCTGGTGGATAATCACATTACCTTCATTTGTACTGATGCTTCCCACTTGTTAATGCAATGACATTGGTGTAGCCAACACAACTAGCATGAAGCTGATAGGAAACTACAAAAAGGTCATAAAATACAGTAAGGGAAAGATGCCAACCATGTTTTTTTTTCATTACTTTAAAAACAGACAAAAGTCAAACTGTCTTTTATTGTCAACATCAGATATACAATACAAGAACTCGTACACTGACCTGAAATATGGTACTTGTTGGTTGTAATGCAAATGATTAAATAGGTAATAAATAGAATGTAAACACTAAAACATATTACAGACATGGCGTTTTAAGAAATGACATTATAAAAGAGACAGACACATTTAACCACTTGATTGGCGGGGAAGAAGTTTGACATTGAAACAGGATGTGCAATAAATAAACAGATTTATGTACAGTGTTGTGAGTCATGAGCTAACACGGGAGGGGCCAGACTATTCAACAGTGAAATAGTTGGGGAGGGAAAAGGCTGTTTTTAAGCCTCACTACAAATCCTCCTACCAGACGTAAGTGGAGCAAAGATGTTGGTAAAGGAATGAGAGAGTTCCTGACGATGCCAGCGGCCCTCTGGATGCAGCAGCCATTGAAATGCCTAGCAGAAAAGGCAGAGTGCTCCGAGCAACCTTATAATGACCTGCTGGAGGGACTGGCGGTCTGAGGCATTACAGGATCCAAACCAGTTTGTAAGGACACTCTCGATGGTGGACAGAGTAAGAGGCGGCATTCTCACCCGTCTCAAGCACCACAGAAAGTGAGTTCACTGCTGGGCCTTCTTGGTCAGGGACGATATTTGCTGGCCCCGAACTGTAATGTTCTGAGGTCTGCTGACAGCAGAGCCACTGATTCATAGAGGGTTATGCTTAACCTTGGTTTCTCCTTGAAGACCACAGTCA